TAAGAAAATAATTAATTATTGAAAACACATTATAGATCTATTATTCAAGCTAAAGTTATTCAGTGGAATTACTTGTGTAAGCAATAGATTGAAAGTTAGGACAGTTTTTTTGGTTTTTTTTCCTGCAGGATTTTTGTTTTTTTTGGTTGAGAAAGATACTTTTTTAATGCCTTGTCTATATCTAAATGATACTGATTTTTTGTCTCATGTCTGATCACTGAAGTTTTTATAAAATGAAGAAAGTAATTTTTAACTAACTTTAAATTGCATGAATGAGTGGTATTAACTATCTCAGTCACTTGAAAATGTTGCAAAGTAACCAGCTGTTTCAAACTTTTGCTCGTGTTCAGTCAGACATGGGACACTCTTAGGGAAAGAATAAAATAAGCAAGCAATCAAAACCATAAAGAGGTTATATAGCAAAACTGCAGTACTATATTGTGTATTGATCACGCTGTATGGAAGTCATGTCTTGCCGGATGTTGAGAATTGTTGTAACAAGGTACTTAAAATGATAATGCTGGAATCTTAGGAAAAAAAAATTGCTGAGATTAGACTATGGTGCAAATGTTATCATTTCTTATTAAAGGCTGCAGTGTTATACTAGTGCATTTCCTGTTATAGCTGGCTAAAAGAACAAATATTTCTCACAGCTCCAGTTAATTTCATTGTAATGTTTTTCCCCAGCCTAAATGTATGTCTTTTATCACAGAGTGAAAAAAAGAAGTCTGTGTACTTCAGTGCTGCAGTGCCGAATGCTGCAATGCCAAACTTGGGAAGATAAAGCCTGGAGTGAAATCTCGGTCCCCAAGTCAGGCAACCAACCATCTCACATACTGCTCTGGGAAAGGCAGAACTAGGCCTTCATGTCAGGACTGAGAGTATGGAAGATGCATCTGGGGGGACATTTTGAGTGAAATGCTGCAGTGAAATCTCAGTTCACATTCCAGGGTCAGGGCTGCAGCAAAACCGTATCTCTCTATCTGGGCTTCTCAACTTGAAATTCTCCACTGAAAACAGACAACCCACTTCTGTTGTGTCAAAGTTTTAAAGTGTGTGTGTGAGTCTGTGTGTGTATGTGTGAAAGTGAGTTTTGAGATGAGAGGAATAAAAGGAAGTGGGTGACTCAGCTCAGCTCCCTATCAATCTTCTTCTAACCAATAGCACAGTGGGTAGAAGATACTTTCCCAAAGACAAGGGTCAAGTCACTACTAATTTTGAAGGGGATTAATTCTTTCCCTCTAGTAAGCCTTACATTTGAACAAAAGGCCACTCCAGAAGACCACAGACTGCAGTAAAATAAAGAGAAAATGAAAAAGAAAAATTATAGAGAATAAAAGAAAAATTAAAGAGAAAAAGAAAGATAAAATTGAAATCACTGTCTGAACTGACTCCTTTACCAAACATCTCTTCTGCATACTTTCACCATAAAGTACAGTAGCTGTAAGGGTTGGTCCTATTCTAAGAGCTGCTAGAACAGGTGCTTTAGTGACTTTAATGCAAGCAATCATAGTAGAAACTGGGTCAGAAACTCAGATCAATATATATAGTTTAAATAAAAAATTCTGGTCAGAACCTTGGCCTGGCCTACTCACTAAATACACCTCTTTCTTCTGCATCATCAGGATTTCAAAGTGAAATGACTACATGGGTTTTATGGCAGACTACACACGTCATGAATACAAAATCTGTCCATCTTTCTGACTCCTATTTCCTTTTCTGACACCTAAGTTTTAACCTTTTAAGATTAACCCTGTGACCTATTCAGCCACTATTTCCAACACAAAATTACCTCAAGGTCTGATAATAGTGTATAATGGAGGAGAATGTCAATGTATTTTACTACCCATGATCTAAATATCTGATATGTGAAATATATTACATCAAGCTCAGTCTCACATGAAAGCACAAAGCAAGCAAGTCCTCCCAGGGCTGCGCACACCCTGGCAAGTGCTGTAACTCATGCTCCCTTACTGCTTTTCCATGGTTCAAGGGATCTCAAAATTATTTTTCTTGTAAAGTAGAACAGCTGCAGCAAGAGGGTTGGTAGCCCGGTGGTTGAGGGTATGAGCCAAGAAAGAAAAACATGTGGGCTGGCTCTTACACTGCAGAAGATAGAGAATTTTTTATTTTCTCATCATGAGCCAGTCTCCTACTCACTAGATAGAAGTAGGCAAACCACTTCTCTAACTTTCTTTTCTTTCTTTTTTTTCTTTTTTTTAGTCATCATCATCCGCTGCTGCATCATTTTGCAAAGCTCCGTCTGGTGAACATACCACAGGGAGACTTGGAACATGCTCACATGCCATTACCCTTAGGAAAATGAAAAATGAAGGAGAAAATTATCTTGTTTTGGAAACCTTGTTAGGTCTAATTGCAGTTTAAATAGAGATCCAGTAGCTATGTGTGAAGACTGGCCTGTGAAATATACTGAGATAGAAAGTTCTGTGGGGAGATCCTGATATTAGCTTAAACCCTTCTAGCCTTAGTTAGAACTTGTTTATTTGAGCTGGTTTAAAGTCATCGTATACATGAGAAACAAAATTTCTGCAGGAGCTGCAACATAAGGAGGCATCTATGTTAACTACCAGCCTATGTTAAATTCCACAGTCAAAGCCTGAACAAAGATGTAATTTTAAATTAAATAATGATACTATAAAAAAATAAAATTACCCTATTTAAATTAAATAATGATCTGTTATTTGCTGGTCTATCATGATTTGTAGCGCACATACACAGATGTTTACATGCATATGTATATATGTATGTGTGTGTGTGTATCCACACACAACATCATGTCTACAGTGTAGGATCTCTTTAGACCTCCATAGAAAAAATGAAGCCGGTTTTACAGTATATAGCACAAACACTGAAATCAGGATATCTACCATAATAATTGCTTTCTTCTCTAGAATCTTTGCAGATGGTCTGAGTTCTGCTCTGCAAGTTCTACAGTGCTAGATGAAGTAACTATCTTTTTAACATGTTTCAAAGTAGCACAAATATACCCTTACCCAGTGTTACTTACATAGCCATAGCAACAGGGGGATGGGAGATTACTAATTGGGAAAACAAAGTATCCCACTACCTTTTCCTATTCCAAGTAATTTTCCATCTTATGAGTAAATCCATTTCTGTTCAAAACAGCTTCATTTGGCTTGTATATGGTTAAATATGGACTTTACACCAGAGGAAAGGTATAAGCAGTCAACTCATTGTTTTAGGCTTCTAGAATTGCAGACAGAAACATGAGGTAAAAGATAACAGTCAAGGACAATATGCTTGTACTCTCTTTCCCTTATCTGATCTTCTGGATAATTTAGAGGGGATTATGTGAGTTCTGTTTATACAACCTGTGTATGGGTTGTAAACTGGGATGCATATACTGAATTTTAAAGACCCAGACTAACTGGTACTTCAACTCTGTGTGGTCTCTCACATTACCACACCCTCTAATTAACAAAGTAAAACATTTCAGCTTCCAATCAACCTGTCCCAGGAATAGGTATTTCCTTCAAACTCTCAAAGGTGGGCCTCTTATCCTTAGTTACATGTTTCCAAAGTTAATTCAATAAAATGACAAGACCTAGAAATTTAGAATTATGATGCTGAGTAATGATAGATTAATTTTCTGGGTCTTTCTGTGTAGCTCGATTCATAGAATAAAAAACTTCAGATATCAAAGCTAAAATAGATGGTGCCTTTTTTCTTTCATTCTGAATTGTCTCCTAGATGTTAACATTTTCATAGCATATGCTTTCTAAATATATATATTTTAAATATAAGACATCAATTTCTGAAGCATACAGTTGGAAACACAATGGCTTTCTTAGATAAATACTCCTTTGGAAGTTACATAGCATCCATAAATATTCTTATTTCTTCTGGCATATTTTTTACTTTTTGAGGTTTAACTACTTTGAAATTCCAGGTCCCCAGATGGCTTCCACCAGTTCCCACCTCTCAGCGGATCCTTTGTAAGAAGCAGGCAATCTGTCCTTCATGCTTTGACAACAGGTCATTGTCTCCTCCCATTCATTCAATTCATACTTACTTATTTAATATCTCGTTAATGTTCAGGTCCTCTGGTTGCATTTTGGTTGTTTTTACGGTGACTGAGCAATTTTAATAGCATAAAGGTAAAGATGCTTGGAAGTTTTATTCTAAGGCAGGAGGAGAACAAGTCCTCCTGCCCCACATCCCAGTGAATCTTCACCAGGCCCATTCAGTCTTTCTTCTGCAAAGACTTTGTTCACAGTGATTTTGTCACTGCTGCTGACACCAAGTAAATGTGTCCTTGACCCCTACTCTGACCCTTTTCCCTTCCTCTGACTGTCCTGCTCCTCTCTGTGGATTGGCCTAGGACTTCCTTACCTCCAGTTCCCTTTGCACTTTGAAGCTGCAATTTTTGATCAATAGAAGGTTTCCAGACAGCCTTGCACCCCTATCCTTCCACCCTTACAGCACTGAGAGACAAAGTCAAAGAAACCACCAGGAGAAATAAATTAATGTGCCCCAATGTGGTGCCAAGTTTCCTTTTCTCTTTTTCTTTTCCTAGTGAAACCAACGATATATTTCTTGTGGTGCTTTCTGTCTCAGTGGCATTTTATCTCTTCTAGCACATTTGTAATTTACTGGATAAGTTTTTTCAGGGTCAGGATTTCTCTCTTTCTGTTTTGTTTCCTACCTCTGTCCCATTTCCTACCTCGTTTTCCCCTCCCTCCCTAGTCCCTGCAACCAGAACGAACCAAAAGACCAAATGTTCATCCTGGGGACTTGAAATGGCCACGGTAACTGTTGTAACTTGTCTGTGGTCTAATTACATTAATTTGATAAGATCATCATCGGCAGGATGTCTAATTTATTTGCAAGCGGTAGCCAGGGAGAAGCTTTGACCAAATTAACATGCCGCCGGGACCAGGGGTGCAGGCTCCATATGGCTCTCTGGATTTTCCTATAAATAACCCTCCTCCAGCCCACTCCCGCAGTTACATCCCTACCAGTATGCCGCAAAGTTCACCAGCGGCGCCGGACTCCAGAGGCACAGCCCAGGGCTGCAGGCACCAGGAGGCTGGGCTGCCTCTCCCGCCTTCGCGCCTCCTCCTCCTCCTCCCGTCCTTCTCCCCCTCCCCCTCCTCCTCCTCTTCTTCCTCCTCCTTCTCCCCCTCCTCCTCCTCCTCCTCCTCAGAGCGAGGCAGGGGAAACGCGGGTTTGCACTGGCACCACCAGAGGTGCAACTGGTTCTTTGCTCGTAGGCATCTTGAAATCTCTCCAAATGATGCAGAAACTTTCGCGTGCTTGGCTCCTGTCTTTAAGGCCAGGCACCGATTTTTCCGCTGTGTAATCTCTTCTTTTGTCAGAAGGGGGGGAACGGAAAAAGGGCAGCGGAGGGGGCGGGGGGGGGGGGGGGGGAAGGGACGAGAAGGAGGATGTCGAGGGAAGCAGGCGTTTTATTTCCACAGAGTATATAAGGAGCATCCCTAGAGAAATATCTATGCACGGACATATACGCATCTCTGGATTTTTATAGAGATAAGAATAACCGTCAGTTTCTACCCTCCCCTGCCCTCCTTAAGGGAGACACTACACTCCGTGGGAACAGGTAGAGTGAACTGCTAACAGTGCAGCAGTCCCCTCCCCCCTACCTACCCTCTTCTCTGTGATCATCTAAATTATGAAAAAAAGAGAGTGCATTAATCCACGGTTCCACATTGCATAGAGAACACCAGCAAGAGACAAAATCCAGCATAAAACACCCTAGACTGCAGGGGAGGAAGAAACGCCTTTAAAGCAATGATAAAAATGGCGTGCAGAATAATTACCTCAAATTGCCATTCGCTTGACACTCTGACACTAATTCTGTTCAAGTCATTGGGAAATACAATAAGGCAAACGAGCCTTTCTCTCCTTGTGCAGGTGTGAGTGTGTGAATGGGGGCAATAAGGAACAGGTCGGGAGGAGGGGAACGCTAAACTTTCCATTTTAAAAGAAAAGAAATAAATTAAATAATCCATTTAGGAGAACGCATCTAAATAGATCTACAGCCTTTAATGCCAGCGTTTTTAACGCTTGCCCTGTGCGTGGATTGATTTTTTTTTTTCCTTCTCCAGCATTCCCTCAGCAGATGGATTTTTGCCACTGCAGCTCAGCAGAGGGTGTCAGATCTTTCAGTGTGCACCAGGTTGAAACGAGCAGAGCCTCTTAGCAACTCTCCCTCTGCGTGCATGTGAGTGTGTGCGAGCGTGCGGCTCGGCAGCAGCGGAAGAAAAAGGAAAGAGCGAGCGAGGCAGCGAGCGAGGAGGGGAGGCAGCGCTGCCGGCAGGGCGAGGCGAGGCGCGGCGCGGGCGGACGGGCGGGCGGGCGGGCGGCCCCTGCCCCGGCCCCGGCCCCGCGGCAGGCTCCGGCCGCCGGCGGGCATGGGCAGCCGCGCACCGCAGCAGCGGGGGCAGGCGCGGCGCGGCGCCGGCGGCTCGGCGGGCAGCGCCTAGGCTGGGCGGGCGCGTTCAGCACCGCGGCGCTGGACAGCGCCCGGCGGGCGGCGGGCGAGGAGCGCGGCTCCGCCGCCGCGCGGCAAGGTCAGTCCGCGCGGAGCCGCGCACCGCGCAGCCTCCGCGGCCAGCGCCGCGCTCCCGCCCGCGCCTCCCTAACATGCAGCGGCGGCCGGGGGCCAGCAGCACCGTGCCGGTGAGCCAGCCCGGCCGGCAGACCTCCGCTTAGCTGCCCGGCAGGCGTCAGGGAGGGCGAGCGAGGAGGGGGATTTTTTTTCCTTCTACTTTTTTTTTTTTTTT